TTCAAAAATCCTTTTAAAGGTACAAAGGTCCAAAACATTAGTTTTCATGTGACCAATCTCTTATGTGCAGAAAGTCATGCAGTGTTACATGGGCCTGGGGCATTCCAGGACAAGCTGGAATTGGGACTTGTGTAGCTGGAAAGTAGTCTTTGTGTATTATTAGAAGTTTGTGAAATTGACTCCATGAGGGCAGAAGTGAGAGACTTACTTCGTTGCTGTTTTGTTGTGATTCTATGCAGCAATAATTGCTGCTGTTTGCTCTTCCAGAATTTTACTGTATCTTATCAGTTTTATTGTTTTAAAACTGTGTAGTTTTAAAATCATATAGGTGATAAAGAGATGATGGATCATCTAGTACAATCCTCTGCAGTCTGCAAGAAAGCCAATTAAACCATCCTTAAGAGATGGCTGTATAGCCTCTTTTTGAAAACCTCCAGAAATGGAGGACCCACAACTTCTGTAGGTGGAGTGTTCCCCTGTTGTACAGAACTTACTGTCAGAAAGTTTTCCCTTTCTAGATAGCCATTACTTATATGTTCTGCGTTTGTTTTGATTCCCCCCCCCCCCACGTTTACTGCTTTATCTCTGGCAATCCATTTTTGGCATGAATTTTAGCAAGACCGAACTGATCTAGTTGTAGAGTTTGGATATCAGAGGATATCCAAAAGATTTGTGAAATGAAAGGTCACTTGACTGTTATCCGGTAGACTGGGAGAGAGGTCAAGCCCACGGCCCCTTGTTTGTGAGGTGCCTCGGGTCTCAACACTCTTGCCTTTTCTGTTTAACATCTGCATCAGGCCACTGGGTGAGGTCATCTATCAGTTCAGGGTCTGGAATCATCAGTACGGTATGAGATATATATAATTTTTATTAAGAATTTTGATTATAGTAAAATTTAATGCAAACTAAACTTAAAGAAAAGTGAATAGAAAGGAGTAAAAAGTGCAAGAAAAAAAGAAAGAGAAAAGTAAGAATATAATAAAGAGAAAGGAAATATATAAAGAAGTGACTTCCAACCTTCATCACAACAGGTAGAAACAAATTCAGTGACCCTTCACCCTCTCTAAGGTTATAAACATGTATCTGTTCATCCCATATCCCATCTCTTACCTATAAACAAATCCATAAAACATCCTCTCTTCAGTCTGGTGTCAGCAGAAAGTCTACAAAGGGTTGCCAGAAGTAACAACATATCTTGTTTTAACCTTGATCAAATAAACCAACCTTATATTCCTTCCTTTTACTTCTAACAGATCTTATCAATCTTTAGTTCATTCAAATGTTGTAGGGTTTGATTTCTCTTCATTTCTTCTTTGTTCCATCGCACAGAGTTCTTCAAGACTTTAACAAGCATCTTTCATAAATCCAATAGGAAAAAAATTATCCAGGTCGCTCTCTCTTTTTCATTTGTATTTCCCTTTTAAATTTTAAATCTCGGCCAGTTTCTTTTGTAGATCCAGCGAAACATCCTTTTCTAAGTCATTCTCTTGGCTTGTCAGTTGTAAATCCACTTTCGATACCATCTCTATCTTGTCAGATAAAATTTGTTCTACATTTGTCATTTCTTCAATAACATCTTTTGGACATAGTTTATCCATAGAAGCAGGCATCATGGCTGACATTGTTGATATTGTAGCTATTATTTTCTGATTCCATTCTTCAAAAGTCTCCTTCAGTATTTTTATTGTTACAACATTTTGCAACATTTTACAGGCTTGTAAATCTTTCCTCTATGTAAAAACTTTAGTCCCCTCTAGTTTTTGAAATCGCCTATCTTTGTTATGTCTTATAAAAACCAAAACAGAATCTACTTCCCATGAGAAGCTGTTTGTTCTTTATAATTAATTTCAAAATCTTACTGTAAAAGTTTCAATATTTCAATTTTATCTGGACCCTTAGTCCATTTATAACTTTCTAAGATCAAAATAAAATCTTACTGTAAAAGTTTCAATATTTCAATTTTATCTGGACCCTTAGTCCATTTATAACTTTCTAAGATCAAAATAAAATCTTACTGTAAAAGTTTCAATATTTCAATTTTATCTGGACCCTTAGTCCATTTATAACTTTCTAAGATCAAAATTTTATTTAGCCTTTTGCTGTTTATTTCAGATTCTTCAAATACTTAAGCTTATGCTTAAAATTTCTTTTGTTCAGGATTAAAGGCAGACTCACCCGGCATTTTCAAACTTGTCATTCTGAAGGTCTCTAATAGCTTAAAATTAATTAACGAGCAATTTCCGAAAGTGAGGTTTGCAAACTTATTGTCCTTTAAAAGCCTCCACTGTGGTTGCAAACAAGATGGCTAATCCTGTTGTCTCCTGGCACTCAAACCTCTGGAAAACCACTGTCCTGCAGTCTCATCAAGAGGAGCAGCTGTCCGGAGCACATGTGGGTGATCTCCTATCCTTTTGTTATCCGGAGAGATTCCACGGAACCGGTCTGCTCACCGGTCTTTGCTGCAGTCATCGGCCATCTTCAGTTCACCATACCTCCCCCAGAAGTCATCAGTACAGTATGCCGATGATGCCCAGTTATACATTTCAATTTCAAGCTGCCCAAGCAATGCTCTTGATGCCTCTTCCCAGTGTCTGGAGGCTGTAAGTGTCTGGATGGGGGGGAACAGATGCAGGCTCAATCCTAGCAAGACCAAATGGTTCCCTAACTCTGAAATCCTTCTATCTTTAGTTCTTGATGAGTAGCGCTTCCCCATTCAGGAGTGGTGTGTAATCTGGAAGTGGGGGGGGGAGCCCTTGGACTTACTGCTCCTGATCAAAGAGCAAGTGACAGCTATGACCAGGAAGGTCTTTGCCCAGATTCATCTTGTGTGCCAGTGGGCTTGTTCCCAGGTCAGGAGGCCCTTCAGATAGTCCCTTGTGCTCTAATCACCTGCAGGGAGCCAGGGAGATGACCTGGGAGAAGGCATCTAGCAGTAATTAGGATTATAGCAGGTGCAGAAGACGAATGCATTAAGCATGGGGGCAGGGAGTGTCCAGGAATGAGAAAGGGACTAAGACTGGCTCCCTCTTGACTCCATGGGGCATGAAAGGGAGGGAATACAGGCATATTTACAAGATTCTGTTACTGTAGCCTATCTCAATAAAGTACGCATAGTTCTAATCATCCTGTGCGATCGATTCCCTGATCTATCTATCCCATAGGGCTGAGATCATCTCACCTGTGGACTACTGCAATGCGTCCTACTTGGGGCTGTCCTTGAAAACCACTCAGAAGCTGCATCTGGTCCACAATGGAGCAAAACAGGTGGTAATGGGCACCATTGCTCTGCAAGCTGCACTGGTTGCCAGTTGTTTCTGGTGCAGTTCAGGGTGCTGGTTACCACCTATCAAGCCCTTCATAGGTTATCTGAGGGACTGCCTATCTCTGATAGTTCTGGTCCTTCCTGAATAATTGGGCAGAGCGGGTGTGCTTCACGTCCCTTTGATTAAACTGTGTTGTCTGATGGGAGTAAGGAAGTGCATCTTCTCTGTCTCAGCAGCTGCCCTCTAGAACAGCATCCGTGCAGTGATTCATATGGCTCTCATTTGATGATGCTCAAAAACTCTCTGAAAACCTAGCTGTTCCCCCTGGTCTTTGGTTAGGTTGGGTGTTGAGCCCTTATAAGATTTCATTTGTTCAAGGGATTGTTTTTTTTCTGGTGTACATGGTTTGTATTTATTGTTTTACTGTTTATTTAACCCTGTATGTCACACAGAGTTTTACAGAGTTGGACAGCCTTTAAATACACTTAATTTAATTTTTAAAATTTAATTTAATTTAAAAAAAAACCCCAGAAGTAATTTTTGAAGGGGTAATCATTGTTCCATAAAAATGATGTAAGACATTGAGAATGTTGAGAAAAGGCCAGTTGTTGGGTTCACAGTAAGATTTGTGTCCTGTGGGAATGTCTTTTGCCCCAGAAAGTGCATTCAGCATATATTCTGATGTGGAGGCACATAAAAAGGCCAGTATGCGATTTCTTCTTGGAAAAGAGAAAGCAATGGCTATCTGCTTTCTAAATCATTAGATTCTTGGATCAAATTGTTTCATTTGCCCAAAAGATAGTCCAATGTATTAAGGCCCTGGAAACCAGATTCGATCAGCCCATATCCCCCATTTTAGATCTGGGTCTAGAACTATGGGAATATTTACTACTATAGCAATACAAGTGAGGGAATATTTGCTTCCTGCATTGAGAATACAACATATGCAAATAAGATAATAGATTTAGAATAGTTAATCAGAGTGGTATATTTATTTAAACACTTTCTACCTATGGTTTCTTTCAGAAAACTCTTATTGCACAGATAAGAGTAAAACCTAACACCGATCTTGTGTTATTTATCAAATTAATTGAGATTTGTATGGAGAAAAGGGAGATACTGTAACTTGATGAAACATTTTAATATCTATAATTACTGAGTTAGTAGACTAATACATTTTATGTAGCTGATGCTGTTCTTTCATTTTTTAAAGATACTTTTGACTTTTGAAGACTGCAAACGATATGGCCAGATAGGATGACACCAAAAATTTCAGTCTTCTTGAGAGGGGCATTTAAGGGAGGTAGTGCCTCTTATTTTGACCCTTATTTTAGTTTTAAAAAGGGGGGCTCATACTACCAAAAGTCAATGTATTGAGGGGCCACCTGTGGGCCAAGGCCTCCCTCCCCCATTGTAAAAGGACTTGTTAATTTGCTCTACAAGCACTATCTTTCAAACTGGCTGTTTAACATGCCTGGCTGATAAACCAGTTGTTGCCAAGCAGGTTCTGATGATATCCTTTTTGCAGCTTCCACCCGCTTTGTGAAATGTGAAAAATGCCACCACTTCTTCGTTGTGTTGTCAGAAGCCGATTCTAAGAAGAGCATCCTTAAAGAGCCAGAGACAGCAGCTGAAGCTGTAAAATTGGCCTTCCAACAGAAGCCACCACCTCCGCCCAAGAAGGTACAGTCAGCTGACCTTAGTTGAGGGGACTTCACCTCTTTCATACTGTAGGCTTTTTAAAGTTTTAATGGAACAGCTAAATAAGCAAAGTCTGCGGCTATACCTCATCATTAGTTGGGCCCTTAATCTACCATCTCATGCGAAATCGTACTATCCCCTAGATCAGTGTTGTCCAAACTTGGCCACTTTAAGATGAGTGGACTTCAACTCCCA